GATCGTATTTAATTTACTTTTAAGAATAAACAACATCACATGCATTGCTCTTATCTTAAATAAGATATACAAAGGACCTGTATTATGGAAGCTATAACAATAGGTAACAATACCCAGAAAAATAGAAAAGTGAATTTTTCCTATAGCTTCAACCGGGAATCGATCTTGAGCCCCCAGAAATGGAGACACATTGACATTGTGCGAGCCACTCGGTCAGGGATCTTTATTAGGGATATTTATCGTTAACGACTTCAGACGCAACTGAAAACAAGCGCGCGGTCAGGATGATAAATTTTTGGTCACCAATCTTATGACCAGCCCGTGCGAAAGTTGCTTAACTTCCGTATCACATACCGAGCGCGCTAACCATTTCACCATCGAATTCTTTAGTGGATACAGCTATTTAGCTTGGTACTTCATCTAAACCCGATTTTATTAAAAACATCGATAAAATAAAGAACCAGAAATACAAAAGTAAAAGAAAATAAGTTCTTTTATTAATAAACCTTACTTATTTTTGTTAGCCTGTCTATCAGGAAGATACAACAACAAGTATTATTTTTTATTTAACGTTATCAATTAATTACAGCGATATATTTAGTTATAATGTCGAAAGACGTCACAACTTTGTACATTTTCTACATAGTTGTGACGTACCCCATTCCTCGACTTTAATGGCTATTATCTAAGCCATTTCTTATAAAACTGAAGCAAAAAAATACGTATCTCATATTTTTCTAATATCTGAACGGCGGACTGAATATTTTTTACCCAGGTGTTATCCCTATGGTTTACGGTAATAAACCTTATCTAGTTATGTTTAGGATTGTTTATTGAATGCTTCTTTCTAGATGGAAAGTGGCCGTGTATATTATTTTCTGAGTCAAAACGTCTGCTTTCAACCGTAGCCCGTTCTGAGTACGCTCTCGGCTCACACTTCACCCAGAAAAGCTCTCACGTAACCTTGTGGGGTGCCTCAATTACTTTTTAACTTTGGGTATTTGTAATCTTTTAATAAGTAGCTGAACTGATATTTTTTTTAATTTTTCTTTAGCTTGTGCTTGTGACTTTAGCTTATGCCTGTGACATTTTTTATGTAGAATAAGTATTTATAGTAGACTTTTTTTAAGGAATTTTCATTAACTTACATTCATTTCTTATTAAAACGAAAAAAAGCAAATTCTTATTTGGATATAAAATAAGTATATAAAAGTACTACATCTAGTTTTTGCTTTGTAAGTGCTTTATTAATAATACTATATCACAGGAAATAATTTTGCAGTGATAAAAAACTTATTACTTTATACAAACTATTCCATTATATATATTTTTTTATAATACGTAAAAATATAACAAAACTCGCAAAACAAAACCGCGTTTATTTCGAACAACGAACGATGTAAAACTCCAGTTTCAAACAATCTCATGTTTATTCGTATGTGCGCTTATTCTAAATGAATAATCAACCCCCATGGAATTAGAAATCAGCCGTCGCAGCCCGAAAAAAACAATAATTATAAAGCGCGCGTAATTCTAATTTCGAATTCAAATTAAAGCCGCTTAATGCGCAGGAGCGACCCCGTTAAAAAAAAGAGTTGACGAGTGCTCGCGGAGGGTGGTAATTTTTCATTAATTTAAGTTCACCATTCCCTGTTTTGTTTGCTTTTAATCGCATTTCTAATTAATCCCGTCGAGAATAACGTGACAACTGTCGACTATGGCCGCCATTTTTTTCCCGAGCCGAGTATAGCAGATGTCGGCCGATTTCCATTTGTTTCTGAGATTAATGATTCGGTGCGATTGTGAATTTTTCCGGTCGGCTTTTGTTGTTTTAGAAGCAATTTGTCCGCTTACTTTTGTAGAGGCAGTCGTTAAAGCTTCCCAAATGATATTCGAATAGGAAAAAAAAATATATCAAACAAAAGGATCTCCCAGATCAAGTTTCGTCACCATGTCATATTTATTGAAAAAAGTATTTAATATATTTTTCTGTATTGCATAGTAGTTGCTCTGTGTTAAATAGTCTATGTAAAGTAGTTAAAAATAGTTGCCAGTTTAAAATAAACGATATCGTAATCATCATTTTTTAAATATACAATTGCTAAAAGCACTTAATTATTGTTGAAAATATTTCACTAAAGGCATCTTTAATTATACATCGATAATAATTATAATCCATAATTTAATAATACACCTTATCAATTTGTATTTCACTAAATAAGTAATATTAGATCATATTAACATCTATCTACTTTACGATTCAAGCTTTTTATTGTTAGCTAGGTATTTAGATATGTTCTGGAGCGCTATTTCGTTTGTATAAAAGCAGCCTGGAATTCGTCATCGAGTGCAAACTTTCATATTTTTTTTAATTTAATGTTAGCTCTATGCAATGATAGAAATGCGCTTGACAACGAATTCGAAGCATACCAATTACTTAATTTATTGACAGCTTATTTTCTTTGACAAGCAAAATAATTCATAGCGATTCACATGTCAGTTTAAAAAAAAATCTATCAAATTTTTTCACTTGATATTAAACCTTAATGCTTTGAGGGAGAGTTAAAAATCAACTACAGAATGACATATTGTGGCAACCAGAGATCCTGCCGTGTACATTTGTTGTTTCAGATTTCTCTATCTACTTTAGCTACTATGATATGTATATACGTATGATATGTTGCACATTTGGACTATTTCACATGTAAAGTTTCCGGTTACTACACTTAAATATTTGGAATTATCTGTTTATCGTTTCTACTACTAAAAGTAGCTTAGCTTAGCTGAGTGTAGCTCAGTTCGGTGCGTATCGGATATGAACGCTTGACGCATCACAGCCACCCCCATGGGTGGACAAGTCAGCGGCGGGTCAAATAGCATCCCCCTGTTTCGCACACTTCGTCTACTAACTTGGAATACTGATTTCCGATTTTCTAACATATATTAACATACATCCCTAGTCTAGAAACTTCAACTTCATTACTTTAAAAAGTTTTTCTTTTGTAATTGAATTTGAAATTTCTTTACCAGTGCATATACTAGATTTGACTGAAAATAATAAACTAAGAATTAATCGAAATAAAAAAGAACTGAACCGTTATTTCAAAAAAGCAACTATAGATTGTGAAGTGTTCTAAAAATAATTTGACAAAGCTTGCACTTAACATTAAAAGCCAATGATAAGTCATATAACTTTCAAAAGAATGGTTGTATCAGACAGCAACATTTACATTTGACATCTGTATTAACAATAAAAGAATTTTTAAAAACTCTCAAAGTATAGAATGTTACAATGAAGAATATTTTTCTCCACTCTAGTTGAATACAGTTGAAGTTAAAATCGCTTTTAGCACTAATGAGATATTAAAGCAAGATATTTACGACTCATTAGTGTAAAAGAGACTCAAAAATGACTAAAAACTGGAACTGGTTGTAGGTAAATGGAATTGAGCAGCAAAGATCATAATGGCTTTGAAGTATTAATATTTCTGCATATTTATTTTATCTTATCAGCGTCCACTAATATTAAAAAAACCGGTAAAATACTGTTATGATATGACTCACGATTTAAGGAACATCAATGATATTCTAAAGCTATAAAAGCAATGAGCAGTAGAGAACGAAAAAACAAACTTAATTATGCTGTTGCGAAGCTGTTGTCCTCGTACAACAACATAAGTAGCAGTCAGATTACTAACTTTATAATGTTTTTTTTCATTGTTTCGATCCAAAATGTGCTTCTGCCGGTATTCATATAAGATTTGAATTGCTTTCGCACTTTCTTATTTTTGGAATAAATAGTCATATCTTTTCATTGAGTTGACTAAAATATTTTTTACACCCTATAGGTTATTAATAATATCCTATAGGGTGTAAAAATTATAAAAAAAATATATAACAAAAGTTCTATTTTAAATGCAACTTAACATCTGTCCACATTTGTGAAAAATATGGGTTTAAGAGACAGAAAATCATACAATTAGGTTTACATAGAAGTTATTCGATAAGAGTTCTTTGTTATAATGATCTAAATATCGGTTAGAATAGGAATACGGAGAATTGAAGAAAAGACAAAAAACATCTGATCATATAAAGTTAAATACTTTACATGACACAACGTTATTTACTATGTTTTATACGATAACATCGAAAAGGTTGTGTTACAGCAACAACATCTGAAATTTTAAACTCTTTTCAAAGTAATTGCCTGTATTATAACGGAGGGCAATGCCTTTATCGCCTGCAATGCACTATAAGTGTCTAGTGCCTGTAAATTTTCGCAGTGGCGATCTGCGGTCGGTCTTTGTGCTATTAATTTGTAATGTCCCCCCCTGCCTAGATGCATGGGCTGGCTGCACGAGGGGAGATGACTAAAGACAAGTCTCGGGTTATACCAGCCTTGTCTTGTTGATGGATAGATTATTGCTGTAATTGGAACGTGTTGCAGATTTTGGTGTTTGTACGATATTTATAGTAAGTTCGGATAATAATTTGATTATATATTATTAATGTATGTATTATTTGTATGCAATTCATGTATTGTATGTATTGTCTTTGAAAGTATTATAATTGTTACTATTGCATTATAAATGTATTCAATAATAAGTCCAGTATTTGTAATGTATGATTTCTATACAAATAAAATGTTGGAATTTTTATGAATATGCTTCCAATGTAATGATATTTTTGTAAATCTTGCCTTGCATCCATTCTTCTCGATATACTTAGGTTCTAAATTCTAAATAGGTATGGGGAATAGTAGATGAACTATTCCTTTATATAAATGTTACTAAATTATTTGCATATTGCTCAGACTGACTAAAAATGAAAGAATCTTAATCAATTTATTATTACTATATGTTTCACAATTTCATCTTTTGAATCTCAATTAGTAGGAAATAGTTAATCTTTTCGACCTGCCAATACTAAAAGTGTATTTTTTTGCTATCTCCAGATTTGACACTAGATCGGTTGCCACTTTGCACCTCGAACGATCTTCAATGGGGGCCCGCGTTTCCGATAGGATTAAGCCAGACTTACTGCTCGGTCAGAAACACGGCGCGACGCAGCCCTCCCCTCCCCCCGTCCCTATGCCTCCACCCGCCGCATTAGGAGCAATCATATTCGACGGCTGCGAGGTTTTGGCATCCGTTCGTGTTGCTTAGGCTCGCCTAGGCTATTTGCGGAACAATGATTGGTGGTGTCTTAGTTTGTAACGTCCATAAGGTCCATTTATGCTCGGACAAACTCAGCTAATGCATATACTACACGTGCCTAGCCCTAGGGTATAAAGTCCAAAATTCGTATAGCCATATCATAAATGGAGTGCGCCGTTCCCGTGTATTACCTATATGTGCTGTTGAACAACCTAGGTCATATAATAGTGTTTTAGGACTGATCAGGGTCCAATAGCTTTGAATTATGATCTGAAGATCAAGTAAGTGCAAGGTTTTAGTATTAATATAAATAATTTTCTATCTTTGTAGTAATGTTTAATGAGCTGAAATAGTAAAAACCTGAGTGGAGAGGCAAAAAATCTGATTAGATTTCGCACTCCACTTAACTAAGTAGACTGCAAGTAAATCTACTTAGATTTATATAGTATGTGGAGAGGAACATTTCTCTTAGCTGATTATGTCTTCGGGATTTCCTCTCTAACCTGAACTTATTCCTTGGTAATATAAACCTTAGCTCCTCCAACACGCATAGCGTGACAACATGGACTCGTATGAGGTTTAGATTGAGGAGTATAAATCTCATCTACAGAGTACAGTTTGACATTGGGAATCTCTTGCTAAGATCGCTACAATAGGCTTTTGTCTACTCTTGACATTCATTTAAAATTATAGGTACAATATTTCTCGAGTTCTCGATACTCAACATCGGCACTATCTCAATCGCTATCCTAAAGATTTTTCGCGACGGGCTCTGATATTGAACGCGTAAGATATAAAGTGTGGAGTTCAGCAAAGCATACTTTAACTGCGACTCTGAAGAATCACATTTTTTTTTAAAATAACATAAACAGCATGGGCGAAGGTATTTACTAAAGTAATATTGTTAGTTCTAAATTTTCGATTTAAGATCCATAAGGGATAGTTGCATTTTTTTTCAATGAAACCTTGCAATTTTATTTTTAATCTGACATTGAAAATGAAATGAAATTGTACTATTTCACTCTAATATAATGTATAATCATGTAAACATCTTGAATTTATAATCTGTTAGCTTCTAAGATATTTTTGTAATAATTAATAAATATGAATTGTCTTATAAATAACATTAATATACTTAAAAATATATTTCCTTCTCATAATGTTGTCTACTCCAAGTGACATGATTTTTAATAAATTATTATAACGAATGATAAACATTCATGATAACACACATTACCGCAAACAACTTTCTCTTGATGTCAACTGAATACTGTAATTACAATGGATTTTCTCTAATAATTGTGTTCTTTTACGTATATCATTGGCAATTATACAAGTTTAGTATTATGATAGCCTATACTTAGAAGCAATTAAAGCACTTTGGTGCGTGATATGTAGTCCATGTTCGTTAATCATATAACAATAACGATGTCACATTTTTTTGTATTAAAATATATAACGGCGGGTAGTCCGAAGGGGCTATTACGAAGCCCAAATAGATCGTCCATATCGGAGGACTATCTTTAAAATAACACTGCAGGCGTGTATACCGACGTGGATTTATTCCATTTTATCACGGTTCATACGAAAATATAACGAGATGAGCGTGATGTCGTCGGATGTCTTTACTCCTCGGCGATCGGAAACAGAATGCGTGCCAAAATGGCGGCAATTTGCTTTTTGTTTACGAACTGTCAAAGTCAGTGTCACCATTCTAATAAAATTAGAAGTATCGATGATCACGCTCTCTCTACAATCGAGTAATAAAGTAATCGAGTAACTAGCAATTAAAACAAAAGAAACTAAATCAAACGATCTTCGTAAAGATGATGCGTCATATTTGACATTTGACATTTTTATTAGTCACTAAAGTTTCTCTCGACTAGTTATATCTTCAAATCCGATCCCTTTAAAGTTGACAAGGTTCAACAAAGTGCAGTATTTTGCTTCCTTTACATTCATAATTATAACTCTTTCAACCACTGATCTTCACGGATTCTCAGATCGTCGACAACATAGTTTAGTTTGCAAGTGAAAGGTCTGTTTTTGCCTTTTTCGGTTTTCTTCTACTCTCACGTTGTATATCAGATTGCATTCTGTGCTTTAATCCGTTATTATTTTGACATTATTTGTATTTTTTTTACATTTGATCAATTTTACACTCACAATGCTATATTGAAAAATATTTTTAAAGAAAATTAAAAAAAAATCCATTTTGTCCCCAGCACTGTGAGATGGGATTTTTCATTAAGAATATTTTTCAGTATATCATTATGAATGCAAAATTGATTACATATTAATAATTAAAAAAAAATCTTTATCGAAAGTTAAAATATTTGTAAAAATATTTCTTTCCGCTATTTGGGTGAATACTATGAACATTGATGAGAATACGAAGTAACAAGTGCTTGAAAGATTCGTCAGTCATGTTAGGTCCTGGATAGCTCAGTGGTTAGAGCAGTCGCCTGGATTACGAAATGTCATGGATTCGAGTCCCATCTCAGAGTTTTGTTTGTTTTGTTTTGACGACCTCCGTAGCCGAGTGGATCGCACGCCGGTTTCAAGATGTCGCCATCACTGAGATCACGGATTCGATTCTCAATCGGGTTAATGTAGAAAATGGTATTTTGTATAATGTTTCGAGTCTGGGTATTGTGGCACCTTCATTGTCACAGATACACCATAATACGAGTGCTTTACTTACTCATCTTGGAATCTAAGCAATGTACGTGATGTTGTCTAATATTTATTAGTTATGTATTTACGATCTGTAAAATTTTGCATTGATGCTAAAATTTTGGTTTTCTTCTATTTCAAATATAGAGACAAGTCGTGTGGCCAGAAGTTCACACTTTTTAGTTCAATTTCTAGAAAATGTAACACGTAATATAAAGAAAAATCGAGAAATATGTATCAGATTGGTAAAATATCTAAGACACTGGGGTCTTCATAGTTTTCAAAAATTAAAGGAATTACTCATTATGCGGACATTGGCAGCTTTTAACAAGAACTGGGTATCGAAAGACTGAGCGATAGTTTTGCGAATTTAATAAATTTATATTAGGCAACATTATATTTTTGCTCAGGTTCCAAAATGGTCCTCAACACCTAGGCCCGAGGCAATAGGCTCAGAGGCTTGAATATGATGTATGATTGAAGAAAACGGCGTCTGTGAATACGAAGCTTTTATATAATATTCCAAGTTTGAAAAACAAGAGAATGTAATTTTGAATAAAGAACATTAAAAACAAATCTTAACTCCCTAAAGAGGTTGAATGTGTAAGGGTGCAAGTAAAAAGATCAGCGTCGGAGATTCAATCGCAGCTTTTATAAAACATTCGGGGCTTGTCACGTTCCACGTGTAAGTACACGGGGCCAGACAAAGAAGGCGGAGTTTTCCCCGGCGGTCCCCGTCGCGACGTTCTTGACCTATATAGCCGCGTCGTGTTGCGGTAGGTTCACGTACTTAATCTACGAAACGAATGTATGTCTACTGCGTTGGAATATGTATCGAGTTGTTCCGCACGTGTTCGTGTTAAAGTAGCTTTTTAATTTTGGTATTATTTAGTTGATGATGTATAAAACCTTCTTATGCATTTGGGTTTCACCAATTTGACGAACCGAATTTGAAAGTTTATTAATCGAACTTTAGTGAATTTAGACTGATATTTTCAATTAATTTAATCTTATGAATTTCATCAAAAATATTGATTATAATTTAGGGTCAAACTTGTAAAAATCTTTTACAATAATAAGAATATAAACGTACACTCTACTCTTACAGATTTGCGTCAAAAACTTTTTAGTTTTATATTACTTAATTCGGGTAATGCGAAAAATTTCACAAAATTCCTTAGAAAATTTTGCTTACGACTTCGTCTGAATGGTATTATCGTTTGGATATATATTTTCCTCCGGGCTTTTATCGATTTTTGTTTTTTTACTTTTTATTTAACCTCTACTGATCTTCTCAGTCCTTAATAAGAACATTTACGTAAATATCTATCCTATTTCCTTCCAAGGGGCCCATGCTTCAATCATACTAAGTTTCATCTAAATCCGTTCAGCGGTTTAAATGTGAAATGTAACAGATCGAGAGAATTACTTATGCTTTTATAAAGCTCGTGACATACGGTTAAGATACCATAATATTTAATCTTAAGATATTTTAAAATAATATATTATCATATCTTAAGCTATCGCATGCAATTAAAATTACAATAATATATAATATTTCTTATATTAAGATACCATCTTATATATTTCGTAACTTATATTAACATCATAACCTACGAATTATATTTTTCCGTATCGCTTAGCAGCTTGAGATACTTAATATGAAAATATGATATTATCTTAGCCGCATGTCTTGGGCCATTCGAGTATATTGCGAGCGATATTTTATCTAACGATATCATATAACATCTTATCCGTCTGTTACGACCTCAATAGTACTTTTGCATTTATAAAAGTAAGTAAAGATTTGTTTATGAAAGTAAGGTAGTTTCATTATGTTATTATTGTGTTGCAGACGAGTCGGGATGCGAGGCTGACATGCTGGAGGGCGCGGAGGTGGGCCGGCACTCGCCGCCCCGGCCGCAGCGGGAACCCATCAATCTCAAGAATGAGGTAACCTTTTAAATTTATACAGACAATAGATTCGTTCTAAGATATTGTCACCTCATGAGGCTTACGTTTTGACACCCAAAGTTCCAAAAACCCGACTGAAATAGTTTTTTAGATTTCAATTCAATTCTTTGTTGTATTATTATGTCTTTGCTGCTCAATTGGTGTTGAATTGTAGTCGAGACATAATTTAGTCTGGTTTTAAGCATTATAGTGGTCCAAAACAGTGGGCTTTAACACATTATATGTTAAGCCGGTTCTTAACCAAAGAAAAATGGACCACATTTTACACTTAATGCGAGAAATTATACTGTGATATATGGATAGTTTGCTTAAGCAACTGTTATCTCATACAATAAAGTGAATAGGTATAAAAGATTTATTTTCAAAATTTTAACTTCAATTATAATAAAAAAACGTCGAAGAGTTAATAATGCTTATCTAATATTTTTATCAAACAATGATTTAAAAAAAGAAAAATACATTTGTATTATAAATTTTAACATTAATATAAAAAATTCGCTTCAACAGCTGCTAAGGAATGTGCATAGAAAATTAAAAAGGAGGACAGACTTAAGTGCGAATAAGCGCGCTCGGTGTTCAAGTGTTGACCGTAGAGTTCGCCGGGAAAGTCGACATTTTCCAGCTCAAAAGAGGTCCTCGTACCGCCGAAAGACTAAACATTTCCCGCTTCGTTAGATACGTACGGCCACGGAATAAAAAAAAATTCGGAACGGTCCTCCGGCCGACCAATCGGCGTGGTACCGGCGCAACCTACTTGCCTCAGAATCTATAGTATCGATTAGTGAACGCTTTTTTTACCCACACGCACTCACACACTGCCACGGCGGGGGCAGCCTTTTTAACAATCTTTTTTTCGAACGGGTGGTCCCCCCCCCCCCCCCCCGAAACCGCCATGTCCATTGCGCGGATGCAAAGACCACCCCGCGCGCCCCTCATATAGCAGCATTGAAAATGGAATTTCCATGAGTGATGGAGTGTCAAACGGAAAGTGCAAAAAGGAGAAAAGTACATTATGTTAATTATTGAACGCCGCCCGAGTTTAAATTGAATGTCATGTTGTACATGTGGAAACCGCGCTGCCCCCTATTCTATTCCGCCATTGTCGTTTTTTTGTGTTGTTTTGCAATATGAAAAATGTACGTTATAGCTCCGCTGACCTTATTATTAAGCGCAATAGGTGCTGAATAAACCTGAGTTCGAGTTGCCGTTTCACTTTCTTTGTGTACTGAATGCAATCTAGGTTAGCGAAGATCCAGTGCTCTATATTTGAGATTGTCAGGACCTTGACATACATCGAAAGAATAACTAAGGCAAACGAGCCAATTATCATTTATTTTAATATATAAACACTGTAATAGTGCATTATAAAAGAATGTCAAGAATCCATACTAAATATTAGGAATGAAATAAATGTAAAACACCAATACTATGTGCTTAGATTCCAAGTAGTTAAATAGTGTGAGCATTTGAAACAACGCAGATATTATTAACATTGACCTGACCTGGAATCGAACCTGGTATCTCGAAGATAAAGATATCTTGAAATCTAGTGGAAGTCAAAATAAACTTAACTTTAAGCAGTATTGTAAATAAGCTCTAGTATCGAAAATCAGTGTGACAAACTATAACGCAAGAGCGCTTAAAGCACTTATTCAAGTCGGCCGCGATCGTCCGCTCGCGCGTCAGACAGCCGCATTGCTAATGGAAATCCCGAAAAAATATAGGAGGGAAAAACTAGTTAAAAAAACCAAGCACATTTGAATGAAAATTGGGTGGTGGCGGGCGGCGCGGCGGATCGTCCGATAGCCTATTATTATTATTATTACTTGCATTATATCTGCATTTTTTTTTCAACGCACACACAGGCACGTGTCAGCCATTTTTATTTTCTTCGCTTTTTTCTTTTTTTCGGACGCCCCCACGCGGGCTGGCAACACCGGTAGCACACTGGCTCGAACTATGCGATGTCTACAAGTGGACGAACATTTAAATTGGCTCTCATCAAATATTGACTGCGTGTAGTTTTTTCATTAACCAGTCGGCTTTTTTGTGAAGCGAACGGATACGATTGCCGTTCAATTTATCTACTCCTTTTGATATTTGGTTTGGTTTGATACATAGAAAACCTATATTAATTAGCGGTTATGTTTCATTGGAATCGCTTAAGAGTTTCGAAATTGTTCCTATCCTGTAGTTTTATAACATAAAAAACTATACGGTTTTAAAATATCACAGATATATATATATATTCTTTTAACTTAAATAGAATGTAGTATATTTCTAAATATGCAAAGTCTGACATTATTAATCCTATTTTCTTATCGCAACATATGTTTTTTTAATATTATTATATCCTTACTTATTTAAGATTGCGTAATGACACCACTGATGTAGTAGACACTCAAAATTGAAAGTTTTCCTCTATTGTGTACAAAGAAATCTAAACCTTTTTGTTATACAAAAATAATTTAATTCTTACGTGTTTTTAGGTTTCAAACAACGTTCAGATTATTTTTTAAAGTTGAAATGAATATATATGAAAATATGAAGAACAAAATACAATAGTATGGCATAAAAATATAGATTCCTTTGCATTAATAATTTTTATTAATAATGAATGAGTTTTTATATTAAAATAGTAATGAGATATAATAACAAATATTGTCACTTAGAGCAAAAGAGACAAAAACTCCTTTCGGAACATCAAAATATAATTTAACAGTGTAATGAGAGTGAAGCTAACAGTGAGCCTGTAAACGATGTCGCCGTTGCATTCAAGCGGTATATATTATCATTAAAAAATGCAAAAAATCATAATTAAAGGGGTGGTGGCGGCGCCGGGGTGCATCCCATTTTTTATTTTAATTGGCTTGTAAATTACGAAAGTTATAGTGGGTGAGAGCTGAGGTTTTCGGCGACTCGCGGTGTCCCGAATACCGCACAATCGTTTCACAGGCATTCAACAACTTAAATAAAATCGTTTGATTTGCATAGTACTTTTATTTTGAATACAGCCCTGCGATTCTGTAAAAATCCAGACCCGAATTCGAATTCACTCATGTGTCCGAATTCACGTCATTTAGTGTAAAAATTCTATTGATTCCATTTTTTTTTTATAAAAATACAAAACAAAATTGATTGAATACACGTGTCTCTGATATTCTATTCCTATATCATTTCGAAACTCACTTCACTTATGCTACGAAACGTTATTACCAATTCAAGGTTGAGCGTATGCCTCTTTTTGAAGTCAATTCGGACACCTGAGAAAATTCGAATTCGGGTTTGGAGTTTTACAGAATCGCAAGGCTGAGCAGACACCTTGCCCGAGTGTGCAGTTTTCTGCGATACGAAGGTTAAGTAATTTTCGAAATGGCCGGGTATGGGATGGGTGACCAAAATTTATTATGTCAATATTTACAATGCTTCAGAAGGCACGTCAAGTTAGTACCGGCTGTACGCATATTTCACTATTTGATTCCATTCATAGGGAAAGCCTGACTCAGTAGTGAGAACATTAATATATAATACCACCACTTAATATAGGTAACTAGGTACTACTTAAATAGAATCAGGCGGTAGAATCAATCAGTTTAATGACTAAAGAAGCAATCCCTATACAAAAACCGCGCCGAGAAGCGTAGCACTTTTTCGAAATCAGGACGAAGCTTTGCAAATAACATCTTATGGTTTTTATATGTTTATCTCCCTCATATCTACGTCTATATATCAAATTTAAAAAAATATTTAAACGTCGCTCCAAGTCTTTTTTTAATTCCTAGGTGTGACTTTTTTGCTATTCATTTTTCTTTACATCGAATTGTATAGTATCTAGAAAAAAGTTTAAAAAACAAAAGGTTTTATTATTAAAGAAACGCTTGGAGTGATGTTTAAATAAAAACATGGCACGTGTGAATGAGGTAGCACAAAAATTCATTTAATTTCTCAATCTAAGCTTCCACGCCATGTCGTGGTCTCAATGGACTCGTACGTTACTGCCGGCAACGTTTTCATGGACAGGTGACAGTTGTTCAGTTAAATAAATAATTTTCACGTTACAATTCGCTCCCTTTAATTCCAAATTTAAAAATTATCTTTTTTATTTGGAGCAAATTTTGAATAATGAATGAGTGATTTTATTAATTTGATACAAAAAAGTATTTACTCTGTATAACGCAAAGTTAATTCCGAAATTAAACTTAATTCTTCATTTTAGGGTTCTGGAAACGAAAACCGGAACCTTTATCGCTTATTGGATCACTTTGTTGTCCATCCGTCTGTCAAGACCCCTTTTATCACGAACGCGTGAAGGTATTAAGCTGAAATTTATATCACATCAGGTCTACTATTGAAGTTCTAAGCCAACGTATTCAAAAGATACAGCCGTTTATGTCGCAAATTTTCGAAATTTTCAAGGGAATCATAAGTTATAGGGTACTTCCCCAGAACTTAACTCGTTGAAACCGTAATTTTTCAGTTACATCATATAATAAAAATATTTTTAATAAATACCCACTGGTTTATATACGGAACCCTCGGTGCGCGAGTCCGACTCGCACTTGACTAGTTTTTTTTTTTAACTTAAAACGTTTCAAGTTAAAAATTTATCTCATTTGTTTTATTTTTAATTCAATCTATTCCACATTTTAAAGTATCATTCAAAAAGTATCTTACCTATTTGTTTTTTTTTATGAATTATTTTCCACATTCCAATTCTATACCGCATTATTTTATGCATGAAGCTGTGATTAAGTAAATGAACAATCCTTAATTAACGTCGTTGAAACAAGACCGAAGCGGATGTTAAATCGAAACCGCATTAAAAGAAACAAAACTAACAATTCCCCCATAGATTTATTATTGGATATATCGTTTTAATACGATACTGAAAGAATTATCATTGCAGGTGGATTATTAAAAGAAAAAAGAGGAATCTGTAATTTACAATACCTCAGGGGCTTTGGTCTTTTTTTCTTAGTTTACCTTAAAAGGTGAATGGGATAGTGATATTTAGGTTTACTATTCAATTTAATTTTTCGTTGAGAATGGGACAGAAATATAAGTTCCCATATATTAAAAATAATCTTTACATGTCTATTTAATTTTTATTATTTTTATTTAACCAGAATTAAGGTTTAAAACAACCTTTTATTTGTAAATTATTTTGTTTCAATTGTACGAGTAATTTAGTAATAAGGTACTAGAGTTTTATTATACCTGACAGTAAACGATATGATACTGTACCCGGAGGTTGATGACTGTTTTTTTTTTGTAATTAAACCTAGTTTGTTCACTATCAAAATATTCATGAAAATGTAAATAAATAAACACAGAAATAAAATTCAGTTTAAAAAAAAATTGCATGAATATACTATTAAGAAAAACTTTTCGTAGTGATAACTAACTTTTCCTGTTTATAGATATCTAAAATCGACGTCAGAAACTTTTTTTTTTACAATCTAGGGTGGCAAAAGGAGCTACGCTCAATTTATTGTGACGTCATTACATAACATACTGCTCAGAATCATTATCTTCGTTTTTGTGACGCCGCCGTGATCGGTTAAAAAATCATTGTCAAATGCTAATTGTAAACAAGCTTCATAATCCGCTTCAGATCATCAAGTATCTTTCTTTTAGCACAAACTCAGTCCCGAAAAAGGAATTTGTGTGTTACG